TTTGTTAACAAGCATTGGGAATTATGAACAAATGGAGGTGTTGGTGCAATATTCATAATTTTGTAGTTTTTTATTTTAGAGCATTGTTTTTACTTTAAAAGAAGGATCTACCTTGATCTTTTGGAGCTGTGTTTTAAGTTTAAGGATACAAAAAGTTTGTATTTCTTCAAAGCATCACAGTAGAGCAATTCACTTGCCTCATGCACTGTAACTGTTTGATGATTTTCATGTAATTTAATTAAGCTGAAACAAATGTGTGAACATTGTATTTCCAGTAACTGCTACTTGCCAAACTGGATACTATCTGGACACACCCTTCTGTGAAACCCCCAACCCCACATCACAGCTCACATCCAGCACATTCTTACCCTTTCAGGCCTTTTAAAGAGCATTCAAACATTCCATGCCAACTGGAACAAACTACACATTGACAGGCATGATATTCCTAATCTTGAAATATTGACAAGAAGCAAACTTTACTTCTAAAATTGAAATATATCACAAGTCAATTATTCCAAAGCAGTTCAGCATATGTTCAGTCTTTGAATGTTTACAATGATATTCAATCTCAAATAAAAATCTTTCTTTCTTTTACCATTAGCAGATTTTCTGAAGCATGTGTCAGCCTGGATAACGTTGCCAACAGCAACAGCAGGCATGGGCTCTTTTTATGGCCACTGAATTCTAAGATTGGGCACCAAAGGTATCAAGGTCAATGTCTTTTTTTCTAACCAACTGACTGATATTGTCAACACAATTAACTACTGGTGGTTCTTGCCACAACCACCATCTCACAGGTTACATAATTATAATTTCATAATTAGCATTTATTATGTTTCTACAGTGCTGTGATACAAATACAGTGAATTATAAAAGTGGATTTTAGAAGATGCTATTCAATGAATTTCACCTTCAGAAAAACTCACTGTATGGTTATTGTATTTCTCAGTCTCCTTAATGAATAAACGGAATTCTCACTATAGACAAGCACCTCTCATTTTCAGATTCCTATGCCACTTAGAAGTTCATTGTTACTGAGGAGAGTGGGTTTGTGTACAAGGACTAAACAGCTTCCCTACCCCAGAGTCAGTCAAGATGCATGGAGCTGTCTACTCCACAGAGCACTATTAACAACCATAAACAAGAGGCCCCGCCTTGGGGAGTTTTCTATAGTTTCTCTGACTGCTGACACTCATGACTGCCCAACAGCTTCCTGCTTTGATAAGAAGTTGCTAAGAAGCCACTGAGAAGTATGCCAACAGGGACAAAAGGCAGCTGGTATTGAATCATGTGAATGATGAAGGAAAGCACTTTGAAAAGAATTCTCTGTGACAGAATAATGGACAGAATTGGATAGTTTTGAATGACTCATAAAATTAAAAATATATGCTTCTTGTAGAATAGGAAGTTAAAGCCAAAATTATCAGTTAGTATTTTATGATAAAATTTGAGATGGTGAAAGAGAGCAATGTAATAACATGTCATGAAAATGTATAAAATGTAAGATTTTTATGATGGTTTGAAAAGGAAGAGGATGACAATTCAGAACCTGTATCTGGCTCTTTTCTGATTCAAACTGATAAAGGCAAGGAAACAGAAGCATGATTAGGAGAGGGAGGGTCCAGAAGACAAGCACAGGAAGTGGGACACAAGGGAGTCTACATGCCTGCTGCAGGAATTGTGGGAACTACTCTCCCAGATGCTTAATGCATCGTACTTTAAAAGAAATGTGGCATTGAACTGATCATGGGAAATGGAAGAGTTAGAGTGAAGACTGTTGAAAGTGAAAGTGTTTGCAGCCCCATGAGGAGAATAACAATACCAACCAACCAACCAGAACTCCCAGGGTCAAAACCACCAGCCTCGGAGCACTTAGAGAGTGATCCAGGCCCCAGCTGTATATGTAGGGGTGGAGGGCCCTGTCAGGCATAGGTGGGAGCAGAGGTCCTTGGTCTCATGAAGGCTGGACACCTCAGTGGGTGGGAATTTGAGGGTGGGGAGGTGGGAGTGGGGAGATCGGTAGGGGTACATCCGCAGAGAAGCAGGAGGAGGGGTGAGGGGATAGGGGCTTCCTGGGTGGGGAGGATGGGGTAAGGGGATAACATATGAAATGTAAATAAAACATCCAATAAAAAATAAGTAATAAATAAATAAATAAACAAATAAATGAAATATGGATTTGCCAGCAATTTGTCTCCTAAAGAGAACTAGTAGGAACTAGAGTTAGCCTTATGCTGGAGAAGACCCTAGTGTTGAAGAAGCAATGCTTCTGGGATGTTTTCTTCTAAGATCAAGAGGAAGGTGGTCCAATAGTATCTTCATTAGCATATAAACACACAACAATTTACCTGCCTGCAGACCTTGTAACTATATTTTCCATCAAAATCCCACAGATATTAATCTCCTCACCTTCCTTTCCAACCCTTTATTTTTCTGACCTGTACACTATAAAAGAACATAGTTAAGTATTTTCCTATTTTTTTATTTTATTGATGAGTGTTCTCTTTTCACAGATTTAATGGTACTTTTCTCTGTCTTTAAATTGTAAAACATTGTAAAGACTTGCCTTACAAGTCTTTGAGCTGATGTACTCTGGGTACTTTTGTGTGATATCTATGTTTTAACTTTCTTCATGTGCTCATTTCTTGCAGGTGAAAGTTCCCATTATGTATATCCAACTTCCCAATTGTTAGCAATTAACCTAGAAAACCATATAACATTGAATTGACTCATTGCCTGTTTGGGTTGTGAGGTCCATTGCTAAAATAGTATTTGTGATTGTAGAAGGAAAATGGACAGATCAAAAGGTATGGCAGACAATTGGGTTGTCATGAAACATGTTTTGGATACATAATTGAACATCATGCAAGACTTTCTTGGCTTTCCTAAACTTGAGACTCTGTGAGCCTTCAAAGAATGGGCAGAGAGGAAGAAGTGGTAATAGGATGCAGGTGTAGATTTTGGTGTTTATTCTTCATACTTAAAACAGTGTTTTCCTGAGAATAAAAGAGACACTCTTGACTTCTCTAGATTTTAAGTGACTCTTTTCTTCATCTAGGGATGAGAGGAAGATTCTAAAGAGGTCCAATCAAATGGGCAATGGTCATATCTAACACCATGCCTTCTGTAAGAGATATGGTTTAGACTGAAAAAAAGAGAAAGGAAGGAAGGAAGGAGGAAGGAAGGGAGGGAGGGAGGGAGAGAGGGAAAGAAGGGGAAGGAAGGAAAGGATATCAGTCATTGCTAATAACATGAAATATTAAAATATAACTAAAATGAACAATAATCCCCAACATCTTTTACCTTTGTCTGAAGCCTCTTCCTTGTGTGTTTCTCTTACTGTCTTCTCTATTTGCCTTTCTCATGCCTTCATGTTTGCCCATAACTACTAAACAAGACTCCCCAAACCCTGAAGCCCTCAGTTTGATTTTCTCCAAAAAAGGGTCTCATTTTCCCAAGTAACCACTGCTGCTTCTTCTCAGATCCCCCTACTGTCTGATATACATAATCCCCTTGCAGGGTGAGCTTTCTTGGTATCAAGTATCTAAACAGTGAAGTATCACTGTTAACTATTACCATGGAACTCTCCTCACCAGCTGTTTACATAATGTTCAATGAACTCCTGTAACAAGGAGAAGTTCTTTGTTCAACAATGCCAACGGGCAGGATGATCTTGTTCTAGGTCTTGTCCCTCATCTTATTAGACGTAAGCAAAAATATCTAGTCTAAGATGATGGCACCATAAATGTTTCTCTAGCTGACTTAAACCCCAAAGCTGATGACAGAACAGAGTTCCTGACACTCATATCATGACTGGTATACAAATTTAATGGCAGGTTCTTGGAGGAGAATCTCTCGGAGGGGTATGTATTTTCTATGAAATATGCTCGATTCACCCCACACAAAATTCATCCCACTACAAGTAAACAGAGTGGCTTTCACTCCAATTCAGTGTCCCTTTCACAAGAAAGTTAAGTAGTGAATACCTATTAACTACAATAACTCTTAATGGCTGCCAGAAGCACTCTTTTTATTTCTACCTACATCTCAATCACTACCTCGTCTTTGGGTCTAGACTCCGTTGGACACTGGCTGTAAGCCAGTTTGACAGTGATGATACTCAGATAAATGCCTTTTATTTATCAATGAACAAAACAGAGACAAAGATGTCCTTGTCATCTTCCTAGAAAATCACATTTAACAGACAGAAGAAGGAATGAAGGAGTTTATCAATGTGAGAGGAGTTTTCCTAAGGCATTAGCATATTTCTCCAGGATTCTAACATTTATACAGACAAACATCACTTTACAACTGATCCTGTTCATGGTAGGGCAGTGATTCTCAACTCCTAGACCCAAACAAGCCTAGCTTTGTATCAGACTATTAAATAACACTTTCCTATTCTGAAATGAAGCTTAAAGACAATGAATTTCATAGCTTTCCTGTGATAACATATATAAGTACAAGAAAAATACATATTACAATGAATATTAACTATAGAGACAAAATGAAGCAAGCTGATATTGGCATCTCTATATAATCTCCACCTGAACACAACAGCTAAAATTATCACTTGCAGTAATTTTGTGTTGTATTTTAATATCATATATAGTTTACTTGTTAATCGTGTGATTTTTGTTTTATAATAATAAACCACTCTCACTAAAGTTCTGAGGGAATGAGAATATTTCTTCCTCGAAATCCATGACAATTGTAGTTTAAAAAAATATTATATGCTTAGGGAAAGGTGAATAACACCCACTGACTCTAATAATTACCCACTTATATTCTACTTCTAACATATCTGGAAGATTATTCAAATACACAGAAATCAAGATAAGTCTTTTTAATGCAAAATCAAATTTCTAGTCCCAGACCACACCAACAGATTCTACCAGGAGTCCTTCTAATGGTGACATCCAAAGTGGCCTTTAAGGACAATGCCAACTCCCATTACCATGTAGTATCCATTTGTATATCAATTAAATAAAAAGCCCAGACAACTTGAACACTTTTCATTTATTTGGTGAAACCTGATCAATAAAGTATTATAAATTGCAGAATGTCACTTTTCTATGTTCTAGATAACAGTTCTCTATATATGCAGACACATAGAAATAGATGGTCTTTTTATTATAACATTGAGAAATAGGTAACTACTTTGCATCAGTGTATCTAAAATCTGAAAGATATGATCCAGTCCATAAAAGTAGGATGCACAGTCCACAGATACAATTGTCACAAGAGGAAAACCCTCAGGAAACCCTTATAACTAAAACTTCTTGTAAATATTTCATTTTATCTTTCTTTTCATATACATTTTGTAGATGTTAAAAATTTTCTTAAAATATTTGTGGGGCTTAGTGATGCTCTTGCAAACTTTATGAAACAAAGTGAGGAAAACATTTGGAAAATAAATACAAAAGGAAAACTGGCAATAAATGAAAGAAATAGTTGTTTTTAATTTTATTTTGTTGGGGTTTTTTTGTTTTGTTGTTGCTGTTGGGTTTTTGTTTTGTTGGGTTTTTTATTTTTATTTTTTATATTTTTTGAGAGATGTGAGAATTTAAAGAGGGTCAGTTGGAAACGGTCATGTTTGCTGTGTGTTGCTACATTTATTCCTTTAGGATGAGTTGCTATGCCTTGGTAATTTCACTGAAACTAGAACCTCATGGGACATTTCTTGTCTCTCAGATGAAGTTGGGATCCATGGATCAGCAGTAACTGATGAAAAATCTTTAAGATGTAAGGATGTCCCTTCCAGGGTTAAGAGCTCTCTTGACCTACCTGCTCTTCTACTAATGACTTCAGATTTTCTGAAGCCTTAAATATGAACATGGCTCATATTGAAACTTTTACCTGAAAAGTTTCAAGATCATGAAACTGAGGGAGACACAAGGATGGATAATGAAGGAAAAAAATAAACAACGTAATTTAGTATGAACAATAAGCCTGTTCATGACCTTAATCATGAATCATTCTTGAAATAAAAGTTTAATGCAATGTAATAGGCCACATGTCACAAGTTATGAAGCAAATTGCAAAATGTAACTAAGAATTTGGCAAGGATATACATATGGTTTAATATTTTAAAGGATGGAATGGTATTACATTTCTGCATATTTATTCATTTATTTTCAAATGTTGTCTAAAACTCTCTTAACGCAATCTAAATTGCATACATTCTAAATTAAGGATTATCCCATATTCTTCCACAAAATTCATTCTGTTCAAAATAGTTTGCTTACTTAAAAACATATGACTTTAAAAGTAGAGCACAGCTTAAAGACTCCAGTCTATCTTCCTGTCTTCAGATGGGTAAGAATACACTAACTGTGGCCCTAGACACGTAAAAGTCCTTTCAAAACACAGAGAACGAAAACAAAACAAAAATCATTGTTCTGTATTTCACCACATTGGCCATGGGCATTCTCTATGTTAGGCTTTCTCTATTACTTGGTTATCTTAGGAAGGTTATATTTCATTTCATTTTCTGAGAAAAAGCATAATTGATGACAGTGTGCTGCAATCCTCATATATGTAAACACAATCTTTAAAAGGACAAGGCTAGAAAAGCTTGTTAGAGCAGAAATCCTGGTATTTCCTCCAAAGTTAGGATGATATGGAAAACTTGCTTGCTCTTCCAATTTTCCTGGTTTCTTCCCAGGTGTGTGTGTTGATTGTGCCAACTAGTCTGGCAAACCCAGTGGAGTTTGTCTGTTTGGAGCCATGTGATGACCAGGATGAATTTTCAGAAGGTGAAGTGGAGTGGAAATAACTCTTCAGCTAACTGCAGCTTGAAGCCTAGGAGGGAAACCATGTTTCAAACCCAGGAAGTCACCATGCCCTAGCAAAACTCAAGCACCCAGTAGACACATGTTTTCTAGATAGTAAGACAGACACTGTATAATGGAAAATAATGCAATATGGCAATTCTTTATAGGTTTACTACAAGTCATCTTTGCATGGACACCTTCAAAAACAACAGGTATAGAACACTTGCACACTTTTTTATCCCTTTTGTTTGGTTGGATCAAGACAAGGTTTTGATGAAGCAATGAAAAACAATTTTAGCTCTTTGTTTCTTCCTATTCCCAACAGGTAGAAATGAATATGATAATCTTGTCTAACGGCATACAAGGCAATTCCACATGTCGACAATCTTTTGCTTAACCCAATGGCTTCCTCCAAAGACAAAGAGCAGCAAATCACAGCAGCTGATGGCTGTTGTGCTCAAGAGGATTTCATTGTAAAATGTAATTTTGTTTTTACAGCTCTCAGAATGCGTCACAACATACAAGTAATAAATCCTGAAGAACTGGTAGGGAAGAAAACAAATAATGATGATACCTATAAAGAAAAGATTTTTCAGTTGTGCCCAGAACTCCTGGTGGGATAGTAAAGAGTGGCGAAACTTCCTCACCATGGCTAATGTGATGAAGACTTGGAAACCCAAGAGAATCATTGCAATGGTTATGACAATAGTGACTATCATATAGTTGACAACTTGCACATGGTCACGGACAAGTTCTTTATGGAATCTAAAGCACTGTTTCTCATTGTATTTTTCATTATTTCCATACTGAGAAACCACCAAGGGAACAACGATGACAATCACCAAAAGCCACATGGCGGTACTGGCAGCAACGGCATGCAATTTTCTATAGAATTCTACTTTGTCTCTACGCTTGAAGAAAATGAGGTATCTGATGACTAGTATCACCACATAGAAGAAGAAGGTGAGGTACATGTGTATATGTAACATGGCACTCACAAATTTGCAGAAGGGTAATCCAAATGTCCATGTTCCTTTGATGAGGTATGCCAAGCGAAAAGGCACTGTCAGTAGGAATACCCCATGAACCACCACCAGGTTAATGACAGCCATGGTGGTCACTGAACGTGAGTTCATTTTCACCAGCAAGAACAGGATGGAGATGACGCCTACCAGTCCTCCAATGAGGACTGTGATGTAAACTGGTGTTAAATGTCGTGGCAATATAGGATCACAAGAGGAATTCTTGGAAGTATTATATCCATCCATTCTTCAAACATTACCTGCAAAAGCAAAAACACCAGTGTACCTGAACAAACTTCCAGACTGTAGTTCACAGCTACTCCAGTGCACTGACAAAGTGGCTTTGAAGTTTATCTGTTTTCATGGCATATACTTTATATTTTAAGAATGAAGACAGCAGTCTCTATATTTTTATAGACTCTGCACCTAAAACACCAGGTCATTTCATTAGTCTGTTTGATACTGATAATAATGCAATACTGCAGATTGAGTTTAGGAAGAGGTTCACAGTTCTGAAAGCTCAGGGTCAAGGGGCCACACTTGATATTGTCCTTCTTTTGGACAGAGTTGTAGGGAGGTAACAGAACACAGAGACTCTGAATGTGAATGAGTTTCTTCTAATCTCTCAGTCTTTTCACAAAAGCATCAGGATTTAGTCATTAGGAATCTACCCCTAGACACACGCTGAGTGGCTGATGAAGTCATATGAAATATTGTAAGCATGGTTCTATTTCTCTAAGTTCTTTCAAGTAATTAGCAAATGACCTATGAATACTCACACATAACTCCTTAAGAATTCTGAGTAACTTGACCAAAGCTCAGGGAAGTGAAGGAAATAGAGAACTATATGAATCTGATTTTCTCGTTATGGTTTTAACATCACCCTCTACTTGGTCTTGGATAAGTTCTTCCACTGAAATGTGGCATGACTCCCCATTTCTCATTTCGTATCTAATGCCTTACAAACTTTAAGAACACCTACTCTCACTTCTTCAGACTTCTGAAAATCCCTCTTTATGAGTGCTCAGTTCTCTCTAATCCATTCTCCAAGTTCTTATCTTCATTATTTATTTTATTTTATGTGTATAAACATTTTGCTTGCATCTATAGGTGTGTACAACATAAGTGCTTGGTATTGAAAATGGCCAGAAGAGGATGTCAGATAACTTTGGAACTGGAGTCACAGATGCTCATAAGCCACCAAATGGGAGCTGGGAATTGAACCTGGGACCTCTGGAAGAGCAGCAAGTGTTGTTTTCAACTGCTAAACCATTTCTCCATCTCTCTATATTTTTCATTAATTATTAGAAAGTATTTTAAATCTTTCAATTTCACTACACAAGTCAAATCTAATTTCCTATTTAAATTTTTCAATAGTTGCCCATGCCAAAATATCAATAATATCCTTTAAGTACAGTATGAACTTCTCAAGTAATTAATTAAAAGATATTTTTAAAAGTCTAGAATGTAATAGACTACATCTCTCAAAGTTTGTAGGTTAAAAGAAAGGAGCTTGGCCACACCTAGCATTCTTACTTGAACAGTTGGATAATGAAACATCTAAAGTATTGGTTTACTGATGTTGGAAAAACTGCAGCTGAGCAAGAACAGTAATTTACTGGGTACCTGACCTTTGTAACACATTTGCAATCATTCTTAATGCTTTTACTCTTCAAACATGTATTGTTACCCAAATTATAAACCAATTATTAAACCAAATGATATATACAATGTTGATGAATCTAAAAAGCTTTGTATAAATCATGTAAATTCTCAGCAAGAAAACAGTACTTTTAAAGATACAGAAAAGGTTAATGAAGTGTAAAGAATATTATTTTATGTGTCAAGTAGAGATGTGTTTACAGTAACTAACCAGATGCACAAACATCCTAAATTTTCAGAGGAACAGAAAAGACAATTAAAAAAATAGAGTCTAAAATCTTTTTTAGGGAAATAATAATTTCTAAAACACTGAGAAATTCTATTATATATATTTTTTCTAGAAAATTAAAAAACCAATGTGAGAGAAAACAGATAAACGTAGCCAAACTAATAGGAGTGATGTGTGCTTTAAATTGGTCGATAGAACATCAGGGTGATGGATGTTTGACGTCATCCTTGAACTATACACTTAAAATGATGAATACTCATGTAATTTATTTGCCTCCATTAAAACATGATGATATCCTAACCCCAGAAAGCATCACCTTCTGCAGCCACAGAATACTCTTCAGAGAGCTGTAGCCCACTTGCCTGTATCTCCCTGAAAGCTCTAAAGTTTGCTGGGTTCCATTGGGTAGTCCCTCTACTCACCTTTACTTTTTCTCTATAAAAGAGCAGTTCTTCTGAGTAGAAATGATTTTGTTTTCCTCTGAATTAAGCACAGATGTGCAATCAACACTTCTGTTCACCATTTCCTTTCACTGTTAGTGTAGTACCACTTATTCCTGAAAGAAAAGAGCAAAGTCAGTGATTTCATGCTTGAATCAATCTCTTTGTAAACTTCTGGGGTCATTGCCTTTCAAGTATCAGAAGCATGTGTTAATCGATTTCTATGTGCCAGAACTACACTATATTGAGCTATTTACTACTATTCACAGTAGACCTCTAGCTGCGTAACCTGTTGTTACATGGAATTTAAGGTGCCAAAACAGCCTTAATGCCTTCCTTTCTGTCTCTCCATAAGAAGTGGGGAGACCAAAAACAAGAGCCTGTAGAGTGGTTGACTCTTTCTTGTTTTCTTCACTGCTACAGACATTCAGAAGATATAGTTCCAAGATGTGACTTTGTTTCTGCTGCTGGACACAAGAGTTAGTCTATGATGGATAACAATGTGCAAAAGCTTTAGTTCATCAGGTAACAGGGCCGTGGGATGATTTATTTGCTCTGGAACAGCTATGGCAGAATTCTGGTATTCGATGCTGTAAGTTCTGGATCTCAGATATCAAGGTGACATGTTAAACATCCATCATACATGTTGTTGAATGGAGTAAAGCAGTACAAAGTCAAAGTCAAAGATTGAGGTTTTTAGGCTGAGTTAAAGAAGAAATCTGCTTCACAACATTTACAACTCTAAATGTAAGAGTCAAACGTTGTGGTGTATTTGTGTATTCACTGTGAAATGGTGTCTTCAGCTCTTTTTGTTTTGGAAAGAGTCTGCCTATGAGGCCTATGCAATTAGTTTTTGTTGTCAGTTACACACCTAGAGTCATCTGAGATGAGAGAGCATAAGTTGAAGAACTGCTTAGATCAGATTGTCTGTGGCCATGTCTATGACTCATGACTTGATTGATGTGGGAGAGCCCAAGCTACACTGGCAACACCAGAGCTACAGAGGTGTGTTGGGATGTGTAAGAATCCTAGCCAGGCATGAGCCAGCAAGCAGAATTGCTCAGTGGTATCTGCTTCAAGTTGTTGCCCAACTTGAATCTTTGCCTGACATCCCTCAGTTGTACACTGTAACTTGTAAGGTTAAATAAGCTCTATCCTCTTCCAAGTTGTTTTTAATTTGTATTTTAACACAGGAACAGAAAAGCAAACCAGGAAAGCGTCTCTGCTAACCTCAGACTCATAATTCTCAGATACAACTGGCTGGCTGGCCAAATACTGAGATTATGAATATGTGCCGAAACACCTGGCTCTGACTTCAATGTTTCTAATTTCTTTTTTGAAGTCTACCTTTCCTGATATTCTTGAGCTTGTTTTGTTTACAATGGTTTTCAACCTGTGGGTTGCAGTCCCTTTGGGGGTTGCATATCAGATATTCTATGTATCAGATATTTACATTATGATTTATAATAATGGTAAATAATTGTTATGAAGTTACAATGAAATGATTTCATGGTTGGGGGTCACCACAACATGAGCAATGGTATTACAGGGTCACAGCATTTGGAAGGTTGAGAATCATTGCTCTAAAGTCTGTATTTTGCATTTTTTTTTATTCTTTTTGCTTATAGGCTTAAGAATTCCTAGGTTTAAAATATACTTTTTAAATGAAAATTGTGTTTGCCTGTTTTCTTGTAGCACTACAAATTCAGAGTATGCTGCCTCTATTTACTCCACTTTCCCCCTTATTATTTTCATGAATTTTAAGACTATATATGCTTTATAATTCTAGAATAAACAACTTAAATATATGGCCTGTGGAAGTTTTTAGACAAGCTATACAACATGGTCCCTGTCTGCAAATTCACATTGGTATTAGCTATAAGGTTTAATTTTCCCATTTGGGTTAAGAGAGTCAAGCTTTCCATTTATTACAATGAAACAAAATTAGATTATTGACGGTATATTCTAAAAGAGCAGTTATCAGACTTTAGCCATCACAACTACATAACAATGCGAAATGTGGTAAATATGCTGATACTTTTAAAATAAGCTAAAAATAAAAAATTGCATTTAAAAAAAATTCTTTTAAAAAAACACAAAAATTGGGATGGGTGATTCACACTGAAGATCTTTGGAAGAGTCATATGAAAAGCTACTACTGTAGAAGCTATCATATGTGTGTGTGTGTGTGTGTGTGTGTGTGTGTGTGTGTATGTGTGTATGTGTATAATTTTTTTTAAAAGTCACCATAAAATGAGGGGGACAATGCTCCAATTAGACATCGTATATTATCAAGTAAAATCTCCGGTGACAGGAATGGATTACATCTTGTTGAGGTATTGGCCAAACAGGTTCCATAGCATGCCCCAATCCAAAACATCACAGGACTATTGCTTACTCTCTACAACCTAATGGTAAGACCCTGTTTCTGAAGACACCACTTACTTATGTCCTTGTACATGCAAAGATTAAGCTGGTTCCCAACTAGAAGATTCACCTTTACTGACTAGTATTCATGGTGTTAGAAGGTACATTGCACACACCAAAGAAGAAAAATAACCATTAATATTATCCAAATCTATGACCTAAAACATTAAACTGCCTGCACAGATTATACTAGTACACGAGTGACAGAAAAGTTATGAGAGTAAGCAAACACTTTTAGAGTCTGATCCATGAGAGGGAACTCATATTTGGCACTGCTAGGGTGCTCAAAAACCTGAGACTAGATAGGTCATTGGTCCTAGGTAAAAACCTACTATTATTCTGCTAAAGGAACATAGTAATAAAATATGTTCTAATGACATATTGCGATACACATAGATAAGTGTCTCACTCATCTCTCATCATAGAAATGTCTTCTTGTACTAGATGGAAATTAACACTGACACTCACAACTACCCAATGTTTCGAAAGTAAGAGACTTTGCAACAGTCCTAAATGGGATGTCTATATCAAGCTTCTCCCTTCAAGGGCCAGGTATCTACGAAGAATAAGAGACAGAAAGCCATAGGTAGTAGATGATGCCTAGGAAACAGAACTTTCCAGATATAACAGGGATTATAATATTTAAACTCACATATGTATAAGATCTGCACAAATTCAAGAAACACAAAATCTTAGCACAGAGAAGAGGAAATGTGTACAAAGTCCTACCCTTAACCAAGAAGCTAGTTGTAATTGCTTCTTGCTGGGTGATGGGGAATCAGTTTCCTCCAGTGGAATGACACTGGGTATAACAAAAACAATTCAGAGCAGGAAAGATTCTACTTTCTAACAGTATGCAATGATTCATGACTTCTGTTCACACATTCCAAATGGTCAAGACAGAACAGAAATCTGCCAATCTGTATTTAATCACCAAAGACTGAGGATGTCTGAATTTTATTCTGTTCTGTTTCTAAGATTGTTCCCATTAAGTACAAGCAGTAAAAGGAAGAAATCCTGACAGAACAGAAGTAGCATATCTTTGATGATGTGATCAGTTTAAACCATACTTCTGGATAGAGCCTAGTCCATGGTTCTGTGGTTTAGGGGACCTTGATCTTCCAGTGCTCTACTGTGCTGTTTACTAATGAAGCATCTAGGCTAAAAGCAATCAGAATAGTCTTCATGGATAGCACAGCTTAAAGATCTGCCATTGTGGAGGACTCCTAGCTTTCAAATATCTAAGCATGTCCTTCCTAGATTGTCCATAATAGGTTGATACATTTTGGTCATGAAATAGGCTTCAGGCTCTAGGATAAAATATTTTGGAAGACATAGCTCAAGTTTAGAAGTTCCTCCTTCAAAGAGGGAATTTCAGGGGATATCAATAACCACATGAAAATAACAAGTTTTACACTCTTCTGATTTGCTTTTGTGTCAGGAGCTAGCTCACCAAAGGTCATAGGGGAAAGGGGCCCACAGTCAAAATCGATTCCCAATGGCAACTGTTACATGAAGACAGATCTAGAGCTTAAAAGGAAGGTCAGAGTTAAAACAGTGAGATCAGGAACACTGGGATGAGAGAAAAAAAGAGCTCAAAAATGGATGTGAAACAACCACAAGGAGCAGCTTAGAGGAGGGAGGGGACTCTGGCCCAGTGTCAGCAGGCTACCTGGTTCCACAGAGCTCTCCTTGCCTCAGAGAGCACATGTAGGCCTCCCTTGCCCTTCTATGTACCCTTGTTTCTGTTGCAGCTAAGTGGAACACACTCAGTTGTAAGGATGGATTGTAAAAAAGCCTCCATCTATTTTAGGGGAAGAGATACACAAACTGCTCCAGAGGCAAGGAGTTAAATATTAGGTAACCAGGAGCAACTCCAGCTCATTTTGGTAGCTGTGATAGGAGTAACTCTCATGGCAAAGCTACAAGTTGACTGCAGAAATGTGATAACAAGCACAGCATATGAGAGTTTATAGCCAGCAAAACACTGGGCAACAAGTCATAGATAATCAGGATCACTAGTTAACAAACAGATGTGTAGAAATTAATGAAAGCATGGTTTCATCCACTCCTAACAGGGAGAAAAAGATGGATAGAGCACACTCACCTATCATATGTGTCAAGTCTACATGCACAGAGTGTGTGTGCCCTCCTCTGGCTCAGCCCATGACAGCCCAGAATACTAGCCTATCTCAACAGAAAAGTACACCTCTCTTTGTTCCATTTTAACTAGAATGCCTCTGGAGATCCTGAGACAAACCAGCTCAACTGTTTTTCCTCTCCTGGGAATCCCTCCTACTCTCAGGAGTACCTCTCCTTCTTCCTTACATTCTCATTTTTTCCTCAACTTTCCTTAATAAAGTTCATTTCCCATTTTTTTACTCCCATGGATGTCTACATTTTTCCTCTTTGTTAGTATGAGACAAGAAGCCAATGTCTCAGGTTGACAGTTGAATTACTGTTGAGTTTCTGAAACCATAAGGGCCTGGGTCATGCAGTCCTCTCATGAGAATTCACAATTCTTCTCAAAAACTGCATCATGCTAATGCCAGGAACTGAGTTTCCTCTATGGTCCTCTGGGTAGGGTGATGTTCATGTCAGTTAGTGCTGGCTCTGGCTGCAGTCATCTTAGATGTGAAGAATCAAATTCCACACGTGCTATATTCATGAAGTATTGCTATAAATGTTT